AGAAAGCCACATTTAAATGAATTGTAATCACCACGGACAGTGGACAATGAGCCGTATATCATAGAAGCTTCATTTTCGCGAATTTATCTACGAATCTGTATGATGAAGAAAAGCCGCAACCAGGTGATACACTAGCGATGATGATGTGAATGAATTCCAATTTATCTAGGTGTTTGGAGCGAAACTTGCTGTTGTTGCCGTCCATATTTTATTATGATAGGCGAAACATGCATAATTTGATGAACAGTGCTTAATGTTGGTAAAGGTAGCCAAACCTCCACCGCACCCTTTCGTCGAATTACACTGATCCGAACGTAACAGTTTTAAACCATTTAAGAAACTGCTTTGTCATCACATTGGCCGCGCAACCAAGTTTCTTTCAATGTTATTACATAAGCAACACGATAAATACCAGTACATATAAACAGTCTACCTTAAATGGCAAAAATTTGCAGTTCAGAATGGGTGTTTGGTGCAGAAAATATCAAGCCGCATCATCCTGGAGAGACTGAAATATGCTCTCCATTGAAAATTACAACCGGAACAGGCTGGCTGGTTTCAGGAATAACAAATCATGTGTGGGTCAAATTGCAACGCTACACTACGCAACGCATCATCATAGAACAGAGTATAGAATGGTGGTCAACTGGATGTCTACCTGAACTTCATCGACTTTGAAAAGGCGTTTGACAGCGTCGACCGAGAAGTAATTTGGCAGGCAGCTGCTTCAACACTACGCTTTTAGTGTTACAAACCTTTACCAACCTCATTCAACAGCTATATGTTATATGATGCTACATGCCGAGTGATTCAGACTGGAAAGCTCAGCTCACTGATGCCTTTGAAGTGAAGACAGGAAGGAGTAAGACAAGGTTGCCGCATACTATCACCGATCATCTTCCTGATTGTAGTGGACCGGACTGGAGGATGCAACAAACTGTGAGGAGCGAGAAGAGTGGCAGGTGCTGTTTGCCTGATGAGAAGACCCTAGAAGAAGATTTGGATTTCGCCACCGCCGATGATGATTTCTGTCTTCTAATATCTTGTTGCACAAACTGGAAGATGTACAGGCGAAAACCAACAATTTGACAGGTGAACGTGGAGAAGACACGGGTGATGAAGATACCCGACCACTACCACCGCCGCCACCACAACCACCACCACCAACAACAACAACGAAAACGAAAACAGGCACCAACTACCATCAATGGGAGAAACCTGAAGGAAGTTGTCTGTTTCACCTACCTAGAGGCAGGGCAGCATCGTTTCAACTACAGGTGGCGGCACAGATGAGGACGTCAAAGCCAGCCACGATCGGAAAGACAGCAAGACAGGCTTTCACTAATCTGAAATCAGTGTGGAGATCTACAGCACTCAGCACAAAGCGTGAACAAGATCCGAATTTCCAACACCAATGTTACATCAGTGCTTCTATGTGATGTTTCAGAAACTTGGCGTGTCATGAAAAGCATTTCCAACGAACTGCAGACATACATCATCAACAGCTGCCTACACTGGCTCAATACTGAAGATTAGATGGATGGCCAGAAATAATAAGCAACAAAGAACTCTGGCTGGCTGGCAGGCAGCCAACGAGGCAAGAACCCATCGTCCAACAAATATGCAGAAGAAAATGGGGATGGATTGGATTCGACTGGACTGGACTGGACTGGACATACATTGAGAAGACCATTTGGGGACATCACGCGACAGACCAGACCAGACCAGGTCAGGCGAGGCCCTCGAGTGGAATCCAAATTGGAAACGACGAGTTGGGAGTGCAAGGGTGACATGGAGGAGTTTGTGTGAGTAAGAAATAAAGGTTTCTAGGCAGCGGTGGAGCCAGGTTAGAAGGACTTCAAAGAACAGAGGGAAGTGGGGACGTGCTACTGAAGCCCTAGGAACCAAGGGGACTAATGAAAAATAAATGGTCCGAGAAGGAGCTTGTGACGCATCCCGCAGTAATCCTCTTGCTGGAAATTTGAGTAGAGGACTTGCCAGAGGAATAAAACTGTTTCGCGGAGGAGGCTTCTTGGCAGGAGTTTCCACAAACAGGTTCGGAAATACGGCCCAATATGAAACATCCGTCGATCTGTTAAACTTAGTTTGCCCATCTTCGGCTTTCCCCTCTTACCCTTCTTTCATCCCAACTCACTTCACGCCCATATTCTTCGCTTTCCTCCTGCACCATCCTCATCACTTTTTGTCTTCGGTTTCTCAAAAATTTATATGAGGCTTTGCTTTATGCTAACTTGCATGCCGTCGCGATATTTTGCACTGCTCGTATACAGTCCTTTGGATAGTTAACCCAAGCACCTCTATAGTTTGACACGTTCCTTCGAGTATGCCATTCTGATCCGGTTAACCTATTGGGTTCCTTCTTAATTGGGCACTAACTGGTGTCCCGCAAGTGGACGGAATGAGGGGTTGGCCTCAGCGTTTATCAGGGTGGCACAAAGACACGTTTTAAACTGACTCTTAGACTTATCCATAAGAAATCGGCAACGCAGAAACATTTGCAAAGAACAAGAAGCTTTCAACCATGACTGCATACCAGACCAACAATGCGGTAAAAGAAGCAAACAGTCTCACGTGAGCAACTACTATAGGGCATCAAGTATAAAGAATAGAGCCAGTCGCTTCATCTCGAATCCACTAGAAATGTCCAGTAATCCTGAGACTCACGTCAGCCGAAAACCGGCAGGAAAGGTGCGTTCCGGGTTGGGATACCGCAGCGTACAGGTCAAGCTATACCATATTCCTGTCGTACGTTTTGAGTCCTGGTTCTCGAAAAGGCTTGCCTGGTCTCCCGAGGCTACATTCAGGACTTCCTTCGACTTTTTGTGGTTAAGAGAGGAAAAAGACTAGACTGCAGATGAAAGTAGATTAGGTTAACGAAGTCCTGGAACCACCAATGAAGAGTAATATGTAAACAATTCGTGCATACCAACCTTGATAAACGTTTCACCATTATTTCAAGCAAAAAGTGCAAACTGTTACAGTGGAAGTATTAGCCTCAAGCTTTATTTTTCTCCAGGTAACATTTGTGATATCTGGGTACAAACCTGGTTTTTTGTCAGTGCGAAGACAATACTTTCACTCTTCCAACTTGTAAATTTTCTGCACACTTATTCTTCTGGGATGTTCCATTATGTGAACATGCAGCACTCATATCTTCTAGTGACAACGGCCGGGGATTGAGATTACCCCCCATGAAGACACATGCAATTTATATATAAACTTGTTCATACCTGTTAAAATGGTGTGTGCCTGTGTATTAAGGAACAATTATTATTACTATTACCACTATTATCTGGTTCATTCTAGACGGTCAAAAGCAAGACTGTTTGCTCGCTTGGTTTTGAAGCCAGGTTAGGCTTACTCATCGGGGACACTTTTCTCCTAACCTTTGATTTCTGTTTTTCGTTAAGGGGCAAAACATCTTCAGAAGGAAACCCGATGAGGCAGTGTGTTTATCTACGTATGAAAAGAAGTTCTAGCACTGAATGATAGCTAAATGCACTTTAATTTCTAGCCTTTCAGGCATGACGAAGCGTACTCGAGCTCTAAAGAAATGATTAGGAAAGTGTAGCGACAACCGGCCAATAAGCGGTGTGTTGGACCTCATTGGCTTTAACCTAAAAAGCACTCTGTCACCATGAGCACGAACAGACACCTTAGAAGTGCTTACGTGAGTGATAACAATTTTGCCTCGCCGATGGAAGGGTTTGCAAATGGTGACCATCTGGGGATTTGTTTGCGTCACTGTAGTTAACTGTCAGCCCATGGTGTCCCAACAATTGACAGAATCCCTTTTCAGTCCGTTGGAACAATACAGCTAAGCAGAATAAACTTTTCAAGTTATGGATAAATATTTATGCAATCTCGGTTTCATATTGCAGCCCCCTGGGTCTCAGTGCCTAAGAATGTATTTTTATCTCTCGAAGTATTCTGTATAAGAATATATTTTAATATAGTTGTTCTATCAGACTCGGAGCTCAACTACTTCAGGGACATTTGTAACAACTATAGTCTGGATGTTCACTATCTCAAGTGTTCTATGTGTTCTTTACCTTTTCTTCTGTGATCGGGCCACTATGTCACTTTTAGCCAATTGACGGGTAGAGTCATTTCCAATCCTAGGTGATTCGAGACGCTTTCAAGCAGACAGTGGAACAGATTAACTGGTGGAACCGATGATACTGACGAGCACAAACCTCGAAACGGTCTTCTCATCCTGCCAAATTTAGTCAGCTTCCCAATCTGTCTAGTCGACAGCCGTTCTACGGCGGTTGGTGTCTCAGTTGCTCCTAGTCTTCATGACACTGTAGGTCAGTTCAGTTTGATTTTACGGATATACTGTAGGCAGATGGCGTCATAACTTCCACTCTGAGGTTTGAGGATCCAGATTTAATCTATCGGGAACTTTTCACTCATGACGTTGAGTTTCGAGCGTTCATCTACCGCATCGCTGATCTCTTACTTTCAGCACATCCAATTTTCTTAGTGAAAATGAAGAAATGGGTTTCAGGATCTAAGAAATTAATCCTGGAGAGGTTACAGTCTCCTAATACCCACTTGTCTGGCTTAAGAATGGTAAAAAGGCTATGCCAGATCACCAAGGAAATCTTGCGGAACGTTCCAGTCTTCTAGTCTGAGGTGTTAAGTAAAAAGCCCTCGGCATACCCATTCGCGTGATTGATGCCTTCAGGAAGCGAGCTTCAGGTGAATTATGAAAGAGGGCTGGTCTTCTCAGTGAGCTGGATACAAGGCTTGATGAACGAAAGACTTCAGTAATTGGCAAGAAAATATGAAAATTTGGATTTCTGAAATAGCCGTCAGCTTCAGGTATCACAAGATAACCGTGCACTGAATCGACAAAAATACAGTTTTTCCGGGAGGAAAAGGAAACAATTTGAGTGGTACAGTCATCAAAGTATCTCGATTACGTTGGTGAGGAAAGTTGGATTTCTTTGCTTTTGTTTTTCTTACCTCCTAAAGTCAGAGCAGTGGGAATGTGGCATCTTTAAAAGTTCTACTAATTTTCGGTAAAGGTTTGTTCACTATGAATGTGACATTTTCATTGTTCCTTTACAACATATTGAATATTTTTTGCATGTCCACCTTAGATTATGACAGGCTGATTGAAACTTGAATATCACTTAATCCGATATGGAATCCTGCTAAATTTGGTCACGTAATGAATTACCATTTTTCAAGTTAGCCGTTTCTGATTGACGTTCACGACCACTATGCACCTCACGATATGAGTTTATCACATTCATGGATCTTTTGCGAAACATTCTAAGGTGACTTGAGTCGATGGTTTGTTAAGTGACCTCTCAGTGGGCCGAACATTCATAAACTACTTTCTGTATAGTTATGATTAAAGTTGATCATTTCCAGCATTTTTGTTGAGGCTTCGAGACTTCGATCATCTTTGATACATGTAACGTACTATGTTATATGGAATCATTCAGTGTATAATGCATTTCTTGAATTTTTGACTTACATTTTATCCGTCGCGCGGATGACAAATGAATAATTCAGTGAATAGGTCCAGGTTGCCATCACTTGATAACCTATTTCCCACCTTCAGCCAGTTTAGGTGAGAAACGAGTGATGAAGCACCCTAATAAAGTGAAATGACGATGAGGACACTTCATATTTTTAGTTGTATTCAGACCAGTACCTATTTACTATATATGAGACTTGCTCCATATCTCAGTGTAATGTCATTGGGTTTATGAAACCTTTTATTTTTATTGCATTTAAGTAAAGTTGAAATATTAATGCCAGAATTAGACAACACTAACCAAGTTGTCATATCTCAACTATGACATCCATTGCTAAACCTCATCTTTTAACTTTAGTCCATCTACATAGTTGATAACTGGTATATAAGTTGTTGTGACAATCATCTTTTATTTGACGAAATATTGGTATGATAGTAGTGAAATGAAAGTGTTTTGCATTGGTCACATATGGTTCTAAAAGCGAATTCCATGAGGGAGCATTTCTCCACATTGAACTTATATGCGTATGGAATGCAAAATAATCCTCCTACTGTGTAAAGCATGCAAGGTACAGCTAGCATTTGAATATATACAATAGGAGCAATCAGTTTATTTTATGCCAGTGGAATAGTTATTTGATTTTCTGTAGTTGGCTGCAGTTTCCAGAAACAGTCTTGTCTTTCAGATATAGCTCACGAAAACGGTAGAGAATGTGCTTCATGCGAGACGTATTTCCCACCATCTTGCGTTTCTAAATAAGTCATAATGTTGACTTATTTAGGTGTTTTCTACTCTGGGCTGTTGTATCACGCTGTTCTTATTCGGTTTTATTCTACGAACGTAGCCACAAAAACCTAAATGACTTAAATGTTTACTTCCTCATTTCTAAACTTGTTAATAGGTTTAGATTTCAGCTTCAGAAATACAAAGTCTTCCAAAAACAGAAAGTTGGGCTATCGAAATAGAAGCTAGATGTATGCATACTACTGTTCTAAGAAATTTATTTATGTTTTATGCCTGCCAATCGTGCGATGCGAGACTCAGTGGTGATCATTTTCATTATTGTTACCTATAGTGTAACTACTTCGAAAGTCCTCGAAATAAAGTGAAGTTGTGACAGTCGCTTGCGAAAGCCGGCATGTTGAGAAAGTTTGAAACATCAACAAAATATTAAGTACCACTATACCCTAATAATGTCGTTCTAATTATGTCTACATTACTGATCTTTACGTTGACGTCATTTTATTGACCCAACTCTGAACAAATACGTTTTAAATTCGCCGTAGGAAATGAGCGATTTATGCCTTATCAGTTTTATGATGTGTTTCTTGGTTGTCTGTTCATAAATTTGCGAACTGAAAGCAAAACTAATCATCCAATGACTACCTCTAGAATACTTATTGGGATACTGCAATAACGGTTTTTGGTACTGCTAGATTTTAAAGATGTGGTTAAAATCTGCCAATGCATATTAACCAGTCATCAAGATGTACTTGTGTCCTGTAAAGTAATTTGATTACATGAAAGAATTGTAGTCTGAATAATTCGACTTCACGGTTGGTGTTTTGCTGATATTTGCATAAGACTAGCCATCTCATTGATTCACAAATAATAAAAGCTTTTGATAGTAAAGAAGTCAGAATGCACTTAGCAGCCTTGTGATCACTCTTACAGTAGGCAATCAGCCACACCTACTGTGTGTGGCCTAGTGATACTATATGACTGCTCAAACTTCTGTAAGTCCAGCGGTGTGCAGGGAAGTAATGCCAAATAGGTGTTATAACCAATAATCGATTGGTTGAAAGTCATCTCCCTGAACCCATGTGAAGAAAGATGTAATTCTATATCCAGATAAATCATTGGACATATACAGAATTAATTAAACAATATTATGGAGTTTGTTAAGTTATTTTCATTTTCTAGTAGGTTTTACTTGTAATCAAGCCTACACGAACCACTTTTGGTGGTTGTTGGACTCTCAGACCATGCCAGTGATCTACGTAATTAACTAGATACATCATAAGTTTAGAAGATCCAAATAACTGCCTATCAGCTTATATCTAGTAGTATATACGGAAACAAACATATACTTACTTAAACCATGAATTGAGTCACTGATAGATTCTGATATTCTGGGGATATAACCTATTTCAACCAACCATCCCATGGTGTCGTGTCACGCCTTTTCATTTCGTTCACACGGACTTGGGATCAGCAGATATTGTTTAGCATGGAATCTTATTTTGTAGTTTGTGTAAAACGTGCAATATACCGATGCTATTGTGATCAAATGAATTAAGACCCCCTCTAAGTCTGAACATATTCTCCTGGACATCACTTGTTGTTTGGTATTTTGAGATCAGATCAATCGAATCCAAGGTCGATATTCACTCAGCAGCGTTGCGCACGTTTGTGCAGTAGTCAATACGCCACACCCATTGTATGGGAGCTAATGATACTACCTGGTTGCCTAGACCTCAGTAGGTGGGGCTGGGTTCAAACCAGTGACCAATCGGTTGAAAGTCAACTGCCTAGACTAATCAACCCCAACTCTACAGAGTAGATTAATGCTACAGAGACAATTATGTTCAAACTCAACCACTTAATATCTCCGAGCCGAAGTGCTTAGGTAGCAAAAGCATAGAATAAACTCGTCTCTTCAGTGTTTCACATCCAACACTTTTCTGCGTGATCAAAATCAAGGTGGTGGTGAAGGTAATCCTCGTAAGCACGCGAAGTTTTGTTGTCCATCACACGAAAACATTTTTGTTTTTGATTAAATGAGCTTTTCAGTATCTTGTAGGGGTTAGCAACAAAGGTCAAGTCGAAGCTCATTATTCGAGTTTTGCACCATTTGATTTTACGGGGGATATACATGAGGACTCTAACTATTAGATAGTTTGCTCTGATTTGTGCAGTCTGGTTATTAGTCAGTGAAAATGGTCAAGGGAACTACTTCCTGGCTGTAACTCAAGGTTCTAAAAACCAAAGTTTGCAGACTTTCGGTGGGATGAGAGTTCTTTTATCTACGATCCTAATATTTTATCCCTGCCTTATTAACTTGTTTCCCCTTAGTTCATCCTTTTGTTGTATTTTATCATTTTATAATTCAGTCTGGGTGCTTTTGTAACATGTAGTAACTTGTCACATTCTTGGCTGAGATCTGACGTCAGTTTGTTTCCGTCTGACTACTGCTGCTGATGAGGAATTGCTTCCTGATGTGGAGACAACTTCGTGAATAAGAATTATAATGTTTAGGATGCTAGGTAAAGTAGGAAAACCATTTGTCGAAGCAACGACCCTCTATCCACTGAGACGATAGGGACACTTTTCACTCACACGTAGCTGGGCACATTGTTATCTGGAATAAGGGTATGAATTAAGTTTCATGATGGTCAAGTTAAGCAACGTTACGTGATATTGCAGTTTGCTTTGAACGTTTTTAAGTAAATGGGTTTTGATTCCCATTCTGTTACGTCTCGAACCGGATTTTAGTGTTAGTAAACTTTACAGGAATGCAGAATTTTTTGCATTGCAATCCTGACAAAAATGCATTTGTCACTTTGAAGTACATATTACACATTCATACATCTGTAGATGCGGTAAATTCATCCAAAACATAGAAGCAAATTAATCGACTTTCAGCTGGTTGGTTATGCGTTCAAATTCAGTTCAACTTATAAAGGATGAGACAGATAATATTATTGGCTCACATAATGCATGTAGTCCGGACCATTACACAAAACTGTATATGATTTCTGAGTTACTTCACCATTTTTTATTAAAGCTGTGAAATCTTTCGCATATCACTTGAATTCATTATTGTTCACACTATGTACTTAAATAGACGATTGCCAGTAGAGTTGTAATGAGGCTGCATAAACCCTTTGATTGTGAGGTAGATGCTCATTGTAACCAAAAGTGGTTACATTCGATTTTCTGAAGTTGTGTTTATTTGCGACACGCAAAGTATGTAAAGATGTAAAGAATTTTGGCCAGATAGGAACTTAGAATAATCCTGTAGAAAAGTGTCATAGGTCCTGTGCTAGCTTAAAGCTCCCGTACTGTATGGATTTCTTAATGTCCTTAAAAAATATTTTTGTATTTTCAAAAGTGTAATTATATAATTTTTAAAGTAATTTTCGATATGTAGATTGTTCATTTGACATGATTTGTATAAAACTAGGTTGCTAATGTATTCTGTATTTCTCAAGTGCGACTGTCATAACCATATAATCACCAAAAGATGGTTGGATCTTTATTGCTAGTAACTATTAACAGATGCATAACTGACTGTCCTCAGTCAGTGGATCTTTCCTTATTATGGTGGTTGGACCTATTGATGCAGAAGTTGTCCCACCATTTCTGAGAAATCGATCGGATGGTGGTGCATTATGATAAAAATATGAAGCCGTAAGGCCTAATGGACAGGAAGCTGAAGATGGCAAAATACTTCCTATGAGTGACTACTGATCCAGCCGCGCAACCTTTCAACTCACAGGAGGGGGATATGGAAACAGTCTAATGCTAATACTGGA